ATGCAAGGCATTGGTTGTTATAATATCCTATTATCTAATGTGCTAACATAAGAAGTTATAAGGGATTGAATTTTGTATCTGTTGGGAGGTATAATGACCTAAGGGGAATAAATGTGATCTATTCTAAGGAGTTGATGTGATGTGTTTAAATTTCTATTAAATGTTAATTGTTGTGATATGTTTATTGTTTCTATTTCTATTATCTATGAAAATTTGTATTTCAATTATTCTTAGATAACATTGAATCTAAAAAATTATGTTCATCTATATGTAGAGCAATTAATAAGAGTATTATTTTGAAGAAACTTATTAATATTATGTAAAGATAGTATGCATTATTGTTTCTATTCATGTAATGTTATTTGTGTATTATTAAGAATTTAGATAAGTTCTTTGTAGCCTAGTGAGCCATGTTTTGCTCATACTAACTATTCTACAACTATTTCAAGTCAAGGTTAAGAGAAGGGGCATGTTTAGTAGAGATAGGGGTAGGAGAGATGGTGGATGTCTAGCTATCTAAAAGTAAATTTATCCCATCTCAAGAAGGGAGGCTGAAATATCTCTATGCAGTCATTCTAGAGTTGAGAAGTGGCCAAATAAGATTGTAGAATAAAGTGACGAAATAGGATGGTAGAATAATCAAAGAAGATTTACATTCTTTCTTTCAATATATATATATATATATATATTGGATAATGTGGATGCATTTACGATTTAATTCAGAGAAATGCATAGTATAATATGGATAAATTTACAAATTAGTTTATAGAATTTTTGTGTTATATAAATTTTCATTGTAATGTCCTATACAAATCTTATTTGATCATGCTAATTTGTTATTGTACTATTATCTGCATTATTATCAATAACCAAGGGTGGGTCTATGCTTAATTGATGGTGGGAAATTGCCACTCTCAAAATTATAATAGAGTAATTATATTAAGTGTAACAACCCAAAGATATGAAAAATATTTTAAAATGAAAAATATAAAAATCTAAAATTCCTGTATGATGTGGAGCGCAATAGCATTGTGATAGCTAACACTATGGCACTATGCATGAGATCACAACATAACCAGAAAATGCCACTGCAGTACTTGTGTTTCTGTTCTATAATAACTCTAAAGTCGACATGCAACACTGTAGTGTTGGGTCTAAGTGTCGTGATTTTAGGCCACTAATAACATTTTTTTAATATTTTTTTTCTAAAATCCCATCCATTTCCTCTCCCACTGCATTACTCTCGCTTTCCCTGGCCAAGAAGAAACCAAATAGGAAGGGGATGGGAAAAGAGAAATGAGGAGAGAGATAAAGGAAAGAGGAGATCAGTCAGGGCTTTTTTGTCTGTCATTTCTTTTATAGAAATTATTCTATTTGTTGTAAGTAACCATCCTCTTATTTATATTTTCAATGATTTTGATTTCTATTAATTTATCTCTATTAAACTTGTTAAAAACTATATTATATCTTAATTTTATAAGCTTTCATCGCGTAACTTTTGATATGTTATATAATTGATCATTATAAATGATTGATATGATTTTATTGCATTTTCACTAGTTAAATATATGTAAAAAGTTTTTCGAGTAAGCTAAATAGGAAAAAAAACATACTGAAATGGGCTGAAATGATGTACCGTGATCTACATGATAATACTAAAATGTGATATAAGGTAAAATTATTGAAGGGATTAATATGTATGGAAACAATGTACTGAAATGATACTATTTATATGTAATTGATTATATATTATTGATAATGATTACAAAATACACTTACTAAACACTATTATTGCTTATCATTAGTGAATACAAACAGTGATACTTCTGTAGTGTATAATTAATAGACTGATTAGAATGGTTAAATGATATTACTAAAACAAATGGATTATATGATAAAGACAGAATGATTGATTGAAATAGGTGAATGATATATTTTTCCATATATGATTTAAAGCATACTATTTCTCATTTATTTTGTATTGATTTTAGCTGTATGATTTTAATTACTTGCTGGGTTATTCACTTACTATGAGGTTTAAATGATTTAAAGTAAGGAGCCTTCAACTTGAGGCTATGTTGGGATGCTAGTGTAGTTTTTATTAGCTTTTGTTGGGGACAATAATAGTGCTCACAAAAATGAAGAAAAAAGGTGAAGATTTAATAAATCCTAAAGTGTAAAAGTATTCCTATTTTATGATTTGGAAGAATGATAGGAATAAAAAGGAATATCAGATGATATGTCTTTAACTGTTGAGTGTGTTAGATTCCTTTTATGTCAAAGACTGACATTTATGGTCACGATTAGTCATTTGATTTTTTATAACAAAGGCAATTATCTCAAATTATTTCATTTTCTTTCTAATCATAATGAAGATATCACAAAAGTTATATTTGAAAATGCTAATGCAAAAGTAAAGTTGATTATAGCAAAAAATTCAAAAAAAAAAAAATATTATGTAGCGACTGCTAAAACATTGACTTCCATTATGGATGATACAAGTGATTCTTACTTTTCCATTTTGGTAGATGAGACTAGTGATGTGTCAAAAAAAGAGCATTTGGTAGTGGCTGTGAGACATGTTGATTAGAAAGAGCAAGTTATTAAGAGATTTATAGGTAATAAACATGTTTCTTCAACTAGTGTTGTTTCACTTAAAGTAGTAGTTGAAGCAATGATTTCCAAGTATTCATTAATCTTATATAGGATACGTGGTCAAGATTATTATGGTGTATATAATATGTGAGGAAAGTTTAATGGTTTGAAGGAACTTATTCTTAATGATAATTCTCAAGCATTTATGTTCACTATTTTTTTTATCAACTCTAATTATGCATGATAGTTGTAGCAAAAAATCATTGACAAGTGAAATATCTATTTGAGTTCACTTCTAGAATTGTGAATACTATTAAAGCTTCCAGTATAGATCAAATGCTTTCAAAGTTATTCAACATAATAAAATATTTTTTCTCTCTTAAAATTTGTATAATAATCTGGTGACACTCCATAGGTTAACATTTTAATACTTCAATTAGTATCATGAAAATTTATGCTTGTTTACTCGAGTGTTTTAGATTGTTAGGAAGATCAGATATATGATATATAGTCAGTTGAAATAGTCATTTTAGTTATTGTAATAAATTATTTTGATTTTATTTTCATAATGCATTTAATAATTGATATTTTAGGGTTTACAAATGAATTATCATAATTATTAAAAAGAAAAGGATATGATACTAAAAATGTGATAAAATTAATGCAAGCATCTAAATAGCTATTCCATATAATGAGGGAGAATAGATATAGTGTTTTATTGGATAAAGTGTCACACTTTTATAATATTTTTGAAGTTGATGTTCAAATATGGATGGTATGTATAAGGCTCATCGACGATGAACATGGTGAGGTGAAGAAATAACAAACTTACATCATTATTATATTGAGTTATTTTATACTATAGTTGATATACAATTTTAAGAGTTAAATAATCAATTTTCAGAATCAAGTACTGAGTTTTTTCTTTATGGCATGCTTAAACACAATTGATTCCTTCTTTGATTATGATGAGAGGAAACTAATACATCTAGCAGAGTTTATATATAAGTGATTTTGTTTGAACTTGTGGCTCTTAAAAGTTAGCTATCCACTTATATTATTTATATGCATACCAATGATAAGTTATCATCTTTAAGCAATATTATTGATCTTACAAAATAAATTATTAATGTAAAGAAGGATGGTGTGTATTCTCTGATTTGTAAGCTTATTACTCTAGCATTAACTTTACTAGTTGCTACCACAACGATAAAAAAGTAATTTCTACAATGAGAATTGTTAAACATCAGTTGCTTAGTAGGATATGTGATGATTTGTTCAATGATTGTTTAGTATCTTTTATTGAAAAAGATGTGTTTGATTTAATTCCTAATAAAATTGTAGTGCAACATTATAACAAAAATACAAAATATGTTGACAAGCTTATAATCATTGCTCAATTTATCGATCATAATGAAATGCAAGGTTATGTTTTGAATTATATATTATTCATTTCATTTTTTAAATATTAATTAATTTACATGAAAAAGTTGCCCACCCTTACATAAGAAGGTTGTTATGTCCCTATAAAAAAAACTTAGTATGCCACAACAAAATATTTATCTCATAAGAATCTTATTCATGTTCAAATAATTTACTGACATTATGTTCAACTATTTCATCAATCATGTAAAACTATATTCGATGAAAGGGTTGAAAATATGTTTGATGAAGTCTTCAAACAAGTTCAAACTATTTTATAATTTTTTTAAATTATGTATTTTAGGCATTTCATTCAAATCTATTCGAAATATAATTGACTTTATGTTCTATCATTTTGTCAATCATATCAAATTATCTTCAATGAGAGATTCAAATGTAGTTTCGATTAAGTGTTCCAATAAATTTCAACTCCATAAAATTATCAAATAATGTGTTTAAGCATTTTATTTGAATATGATTGAACATATAATCAATGCTATGTTTGGCTATTCATCGTTCATGTCAAATTATCCTGAGGAAAGAGTGGAACAACTCTTATATGTTTGAATAAATTTCCACTATTTAGAAAATATTCAAATATTAAAATATATCTTTTAATCATCTTATTGAACTTATTCGAACTACTAATGAAATCTATGATTAAGCATTTTACAATCTATATCAAATTATGAATGAAAATAAGTTTGATTGAGCATTAGAATGAATTATAAATATTTTATAAATTTTAAGAAGAACATATCAACCTTATTCAAGTATTATTGAATGCTTATTTAATATTTATTATCTCCCACTAAAAATTAAAATGTTTTAAGTCTAAAAATAACTTTTAGATATATATAAAAATTCTTTAATAACAGATAACTTTTAGACTAAAAATGAGGCTTATGAACAAAAAATTTCCCTATTTTCTATCCATTTCGAGGGGATTAAACGAGAAGATGAAAATTACGTTCCTTACAATTAAAATAGATAGAGCGAGACGAAAAAAAAATAAAAAGATTGAGCGAGACGACCCGGCGAAGTAGGCGAGGAGGGAGAACGATTCCATTGCCCAATGGATTCCACTTACTTCTCCTTCCCTTTGTCAGCTTAGCACCACGACACCATCATAACAACAATTCTCTGATCATCGTCCTTTTCCTTGCTTATTTCCATGGTGGATCCTGGCTGCTCCTCTCCCTTGGTGGCCCCATCCCCGATGCCGGACCTCGGCGAGATTGATCTCGAGGCCGGCCCAGGCGAGCAGTTACAGTGCCGGATCTGCCTCGAGACAGACGGTGACGTCTTGATTACCCTCACCCCCCACCCTTTGCATTTACTCCGGGCACCGATTCTTGAATTTTTCGCTTTATAGGGTTTGGCTACTTATTTAGTTTTTATGGCATGGAACTTGGGGATTCGTGATTGTTTTACATTTTAGCTGGCGGTGATTTCTGGCAAGCTGATTGCTTTTCTAATTTGGTTGGATTTTGCTTTCATTGTTGATTATGCTTGTTTTTGTTTTGCAGGAAGGGATTTCATAGCTCCTTGCAAGTGCAAAGGGACTTCCAAGTATGTTCATCGTGAGTGCCTTGACCACTGGAGGTCTGTGAAGGTAAGCAATCCATTTTTTTCTCCAACGTGGTAGGTCAATTGGTTTGTATTTCATGATTTTGGTTTAAACAAGCAGATGAGGGATTTCAATGAATCATTTCAATGGAGTTTTTTATCCTTGTACATTTAGGCTATGCCAGACTTAATAATTTTCCTTAAATTTATTAAGTTTTTTGTAAACCATGGCTTCTGCCTGTATTGGGCAAGTCCTTTTTTTAAAATGAACAGTGTATGATTTTTAAGATTGGAATAGTTTCTTCACGCAATTGATGAGAATATTAAATATAATCTGCATATAGGCACATCCAAAATGCTTTAGGGTTAAAGCCAAGAGCCTACAGTTTGGTAAAACATCTTGATATGATATGGTGCTTATGGAAATATAGCAACAACAATATGGGAGCGAATGATTCATCAAGTTCTTCTGCCACACTAGTATGTAACGGGGAATGTCAGCAAAAAAAGTCTCACATTGTTAATTGGAAGAAGAGTTATGTCATTAGTGGAACAAAATTTGTTGAATATTAAGGTGATAAAAAGGGATTTACATGTGTATTTGAAAGGGTTATGACAATTTTCATGGTATAACCTGCAATAATCAATATAGAATTCAAATTAGTCATTTAATGCAAGCCTTAATTGAGACGTGTAACTCTTCAAGGGGTTGGAGAGGCTTTATTTTACAATTAAGGGATTGGTGGTGGTGAAGGGCGGAGCCACATTGTGGGCACTAGTGGGCCATGCCGCCGCTAGCCGGCTCATTGAAATAGGAGAGTTCCTCTCTAGCAGTGAAACATAGAATAAATCAAACATATAATTACTGCTACGATGGAGAATACCTTTTTAGGAAAAAAATTCTTAAATTCATCCCATGAATCTTCCGTAATATCCAAAGCCTCCATTTTCCAAATAGGGGAAGACTCTTACCATTTTGAAGAGAACTTTAGTTTGTTATCGTCCACATTTTCGGTCGATGAATCCACATGTAGAGAGGAACTCCTTTGTTTTAGCGAGCTCCCTATGTTCTAACAAATAACGTCAAGCTTTGTGTTGACAGAAGGATAAAGTTTGTCTCTAGGGATATTGTGATGGACATGGGGGAAGTTGAGGTGGGTGAATTCATTCCTAAGATGATAGGAAGCTTTATCTATGCCATGACCTCCTAAATAAGGAGATCTTTTTAATAGAAGAAGAAAGAGAGGAGGACGAAGCATCTTTGATAAAATGTTCATTTACTTCCATTAGCTCTTTTCTTGAGGAGATGGTTGTGATGTTATTATACATATCTATAGCTACAACCATAGATAAGCTTGAGAATAAAATGCAGAGAGGCAGAGAAGAAAATAATAAAGAAAGAGGTAATAAAAAATTGTCTCTTTTTTATCTGATGGGAAGACAATTGCTTGAAGGCTTTAGAAAAATAAACCCTCTCTTTGTTGAGATAAACAAAATACCAAAAAAATAAATAGGATCAAAACTCCAAAAAAAATTCTATCAGGATATTATGAACAAATTTTTTATCATGATGGTCTTCAGAAGCCCTTACATATACTTGTAAAATGAGTGCAATACATAGATAGTTAATGTTGCACTATTCTCAAAATAGATCTAAGAGTTATGAGACCCATTTTATCCACTTGTTGGTCAGGATATCCTGATATATAAAATTTTCAACTTGTATTATTCTTTAATAAATATTGGATTTTTATCTAAAAGTATAATAAAATTTTTGAATAAGATTATAAATATCAATAATGAAAGGATTGTTAACATTAATATTAATAATGATAACATGTTGTAAACAAAATAGTATTATTTTTATAATTTTGGCTTATTTAAAGTCCTAATAATATGAAGAAAATCTTACAATTTTGTAAAATTGAAAATATTCAATTATTTTTAATAAATATTCATATTTTCAAAGACTTAAAAATTTTCTCTTCGTCCCTTGATATGACATCATTTTTTTAATAAAAAATATTGACCATATTTTTAAAACCACCAAGTTATGCCATCATGATACTTTAAAACCACAAAGAAATTTTTTTGCTCCAGCCCTGATGGTGGTTACGTTTTTTATTTTGTTGTACTTTAATTTCATAAGGAGAATAGGGTGATGAATTTTACAGAAATGATTTAAATAATTTGTCTAATTTGTGTGAATGAAAAGATCAATTGTTTTGAATTTAAGGATGTTTTGTGATAACCTTGATACTTTAAGAATGGGAGAACAAAGAGCAATGTTTGAACTACATCAAGGACTAGAACATACAGATTTAGTGCTTTCGTTTTGTGATATATGCCCACGGTAGAGTGGGGAGAGATTTTATTGAGTTTTCATGAAAGATTTACAAATATTGATAAAAATAGATTAGAGAGATAAGAGAAAACAAGAGAGACTAAATCCATGAAGAAAGCTAGTTTTCTCTTTTGGCCTTTCATCCAGTTTACTTAGATGGTCTTTGTGCAGTTTTAGGTATGATGGAATCAGTATGAGTTGAACCATATATTTCATCTATGTGAACATTTCATTGTGTCAATAATGCTAACTATAAATTGTCACACTTTTGTTTTAAATGATTTGTTCGTAATTAATGCTGTGGTTGTTATCTATTCTGAATGGACTTATGGCTGAATCCTTCTTGTTGTTGATGTAATAAAACTATTTGGTTGAGTGAGATATCCAACCAGATCATAAGAGAAATGATTGATTGAGATGAATTTGATTGAACACTACTAGGCTGTCTTCTTATAATTTTGCCCAGGATTTTGATTTGAGAATTGCAAGTTTAGGATGAACTCTATTGATATGATTTTTCCTATTTTGGATGAACAAAGCTAACTATTTCCTATTATTTTGAAAAAAAATCTTGAAATCAGAATTAATTGAGAATTAGTAAGGAACAGAAGATTGGAGTAGGACTAGTGACTATCGCTCGTGAAGGATAGTTGTTTCAATATAGTGAAAGAATCAACAACTTATTCATTACTATAATTAATTAATCTTACCAATGGCAGCAAAGAATATTGAAGCTCTTTGAAGTGGCATCAATTTTAGTTGGGATATCAATCTAATACTGGGCAGATTTGTCATCTCTAATTCAATTTCATTTAAGTTAAAATTTTCTTGTACCTTACGGTTTAGTAAAAGAGGGCGTGCATCAAGCTCATATTACTTGGATTGATTTTTCTAGAAAAATATTAATTACTTGACACTTCCAAATTTAGATTAGGCCACACAATCAATGAGTCAAAATAATTTTGTATTAATTCTTTATCTTTCCACCTTAATTTGATCCATATGTTTCCAAATCTAGATTTAGCCACACAATCAATGAATCACAATATTTTTGCATTAAATTTTAATCTTTCCACCTTAATTTTACCAGTATGTTCCCAACGTGCCTCAACCATCATTTGACTATTCTTTTATCCAAGATGCAGTTTGAATGAATTATTGAAGGTCTATACTTTTTTTTTCCTAAGATTTCATTGATCTTGGTGCAAGTCATATTTTGTTTAGAACAATCAATTAGTATAATTATTATATTGCACTAGATTAATAATTGAAGCTTCTTTGTGTTTGTCAGTTGGTAGCTATCTAAATTTATGCCTTTGACAGCTCTGATACTGATTGGGCACAACAACATTATGACAAAATGTCGTAAATACACCGACCATCACAAAATGATAGTTGCGACTAAAATTCTATCTCAAAAGCATTTTTACAAGACATTCATATCACAAATATATTTGTAATTAATGAAATTGTTCAATGCAAGTTTTGCGATAATCATTCTATTACAAATTCATCAATCTAGAGTTTGTTTTTAAAAAAATTAAAAGAATTTGCAACTTCAACTTGCCATGAATTTTCATTAAAAAAATACTCGTTTGCAATGAATGTTGCCTAGATTACTAATCTACTTAGTTTTCCTTAAAAGGAAATTAAAATTTTGGCAAAAAAATGATGGCAAACTTGAGTAAAGGATGGAGTAGGGAGAGGGAGAGGTCGCGGCCAGGCTTTTTTATAGTGTTGGTAGTGATTAAGAAGAAGTTCGGTGGTGGCAATCTCTATTTGAATGAAGGGTTTGCTTGGAATGGGCGGGGACCACTATGGCCTAATCTGTAAAACATTGAATGGATTTGTGGCCGAAGGGCTCCGTTGCAAATAAACCCACTAATTATTCAGAGCCCACTAAAAATTTGCGATGAAATGTATATTGTTGTTAGTATTGAATTTTTTGGAGAAACAAAAAGCAACAAATTTGTGCTACCAGCCAAAAATTTGGGAAAGACTGGACATTCATCACAAAATTATTGACTTTTATCAGATGTCCTTATAACAGAAAATCATGTTCGCTTCTAATCCATCAAAATAGTTAAGAATTTCCATCGCAAAAGGCTGCAATGCTGTAGTGGGAACAACTATTAGCTATCTTATTCTCACAAAATGATTGTCAAGGTTAAAACAGGTAGATTGCATCATGTTGCAGGCAACATCCTTTTTATGGCATACTTGCATTGCTAGAGAAAGAAGAAAAACGGACAACATTTTCTATGCAAGTCAAGTTTTAAAATTAAAGTAGCAAACATGCTCACTTTATTGAACCCTGCACCACCTTTTTTATTGATCAAGGTTCATTCCATTGAATCTCACATGATGGTTGTTTTGATGATACCTGATGCTTGCATGGTGAACTTAAAATTTTTATTTAGAGTACTCAAAAATACCAAGAACAAGATAGTGATGATAAGGCTCAAATCAACCACCCAAATGATGATTAATCCGTTATTTTGTTAATACTTGGTGCTAACAAATGAGTTAAGCAACTAAAATGCATTATGTTCATAGCAGTTCATAAATAAGGTAGGTAAACTAACATAAACTCAGAGTAGCACCAATTATAAATTAATGTATAGCTTTTAAGTAATGCATTAATTATGAGAATTAAATTAAGAAACATGAAAATGAAAATAAGAACAAGAAGTAAGAATTAA